CTTCCTCCCTCCTCCACTCTGCCTGAAAATAGGGCCAACCCCGGATGAACACCGGGAGAAGGAGGGGAAAGGGGGACAGAGGTAGGGGGAGAAAGCTAGAGAGGAAGGGAGGCTCTTGGAGTCAAGGACCAAAATGCAATCCTACTCTAACTTTCCCATTGAGTGTTCAAATAGAAAACAAAATTGGGCTGGCCTGATGGCACAGTGGTTAAGTTTGTGTGCTCTGCTTCGGAGGTCGGGGGTTCATGGGCCCGGATCCTGGGCGCGGACCTACGCACGGCTCATCAAGCCATGCTGTGGCCGTGTCCCACATACAAAGTAGAGGAAGATGGGCACAGATGTTAGCTCAGGGTGAAACTTCCTCACCAAAAAAAAAAAAAAAAAGAAAACAAAATCATTCCAGAAAGTCAACGATTTCCCAGCTTTCTAAGGAATTTCTGTAACAGAATTTGAATGTCAAACGCAATATCAGTAGCTCCTCTGGCTACCGATTTTATGCTCTGAAATTACGAAATGATGTTAGGATGTTGCTCAGGAATACCCAGGGCTACAAAACGCAGAAGAAAAGCGAAGGCACTCCCATTGCAGACACATGAAGGGTCACTTGCACAGGCCACGTGGGTACCCAGGGAAGTGCTGCTCTCCAGAGTTTCTAAGCTTATGATTCATCTCGCCATTTTCCTGGCACCTGTTTTCGTTTACTCCTGTTAAGACACCATTTGGCTTCTTCCTCCCAGAAATGAGAGGTAACAGCTAGATACATCCTGGAGTTCACAGCATTCAATCGATTTAAAATCAACTCCAAGTACAGAAGGTGGTCACTGCAAGTTGCGACCTTTATAGAACTGGTAAATTTTATTTTTAATTGACACAGGGTTAGAACAAGTCTAGAACAAGGCTGAAACGCTTTTACTTTCTTCTATTATTCTGCACAACTTTTTAAAAGTCTTCTTTTATACCTGGTAAATGCTTTAGGAATCTTTTTTTTTTTAATCATATATTTAATCCCATATTTTACTTGGTGTAAAGTAAGTCTAAAAACACTCCCACTCAATAAGACAGCAGTACCCTCATCACTTACAGGTAAACTCAATGATAATAAATTCACACAGTCAACAAGCTCAAAATTCTACTGGAATTCAGAGCCTAGCAACACAGCAGTAATATCTGCAGGGCCGAATCCCAGTTCTGTACAAAGAAGTGAGCAGTTTGACATTACTTAGAGCTGGTGAACTGCGATAACTGCTTACTGCTATAACTTACAACTGCTTTATCTTGTTCATGGGTTTTGAATGTTTGATAACTCACAACAGCAATGAGATTTTTGATCCACCAAATGCGAATCTGTGATTGCTCCTTGTTTCCTCCTTGTTTTTATTTTGATTGTCTTTCCGCCAGGTCCTGGGAGGCTCCTTGGGTGCAGGCGTTCGTATTCAGTGCTCCACTCAGTACACACCCATCTCCTAGTGTGGGAGCCCCTGGGTAGCTACACAGTTGACTAAACAGAAACTTCTAATCAGTGAATCACCAAAGCCGTGGTGAGGGCTTGGTTTTTTCTTCTGAGAATCACACTTCCATGGTGGTTTCCCCACCCAATGCAGTGAAATGCAATGGTTTTTTTTTTTTTTTTTTTCCCCTGTAGCTCTTAGAAAACACCGCTCAGGAAAGACACAAATTGGGCAACCTTAATCTAACCCATTAAGTCTACCTTTCAGGATTTTTTCCCGAAGAAATAATAAGGCATGTTACCTAATTACACCGTTTATAACCGTATTATATTATGTTATAATAATATAACAATATAATAGGAAAAATAATATAATAGGAAAAATACTAGTAGGGAAAAATAGGAAAAAATTATGTATTAGGAAAAAGATCGCAGTACCCTTTATAATAGGAAAAAGCTGGAAACACCCTAAATGCCCTAAACTATGAGATGAGTTTAAATATTTATGATAAAGCCACAGGATAGAATTCTATGCAGTCATTTGGGGAAACTTTTTTATAAAAATGTTAAATAATAGGGGACAATGGTCAGGATAAAGTGGAGATGTAGATTGCAAAACAGCGCAATCCCAAATGTGTGTCCACATGTTGACATGGTGATCTCTGGGTGGTTGTGTTAGTGCTTTTTGCCTGTTTCTTTTTGTGTATATTTTCTAAAGTTTCTCTAAGGGGAATGTATTCCTATTGTAATTTTAAAAACAAAGGCTAGAAATGATAATGCCTGGACTCCTTTTGCTTGCACACAGAGTCCCCCTTGCAGAGGCTGGACCATGGCTGATGCTTCCCAAAGGTGTCAAGTAGACCCTGCTGTGGACAAGGGCAGAGTTGAGGTTGGAGGGTAGGGGTGAGGCTCCTCACCAGGGGTGTCCCCATGACTGTGGCTTTTCTGGAAGCAGCCTTCTGATTACACAGTAGCAAAATTTTACCTAGCACCTAACTTATTTAATAGTCCTACTTGTTACCTAGTTTCCTCTTAAAAAAAAAATGACATTTTACGAGAATGTTTAATGACATAGGAGAATATTTATTTAATGATAGACAAAGCCAGTTAAGAAACAGTATGCTCCTAATTGTATTTTTCAAATTATGTGTGTTTCTTGGTTGTGACAAATGTGCCCTGGTTGTATAAGATGTTAACAACCGAGGAAACTGGGTGAAGCATATACAGGAGCTTTCTGCTATTTTCGCAACTTTTCTATAAATCTAAAATTATTCCAAAATAAAAGGTTTATTTAACAAATAAGAGACTTCTTATTAACTTTATGGCACACATTTCTCAGTGCCTGAATTATTTAACATGTAATATAATAAAATCCTTTGGAAATTTTAAAAAAAGTTATGTATATGTATTTTTATATACATTGTGAGTCTATTCACAGGTAAGTTACAGAGAAAAGATGTATCTAGAAAATATACCAAAATAATAACAGCAGCTATATCTGTGCTATTTGAAATGATTTTTTCTTTTTCTTTAGTTTTTTCTGAACTTTTAAGATTATTCTATGATGAATATTAGATTACTTTATCTAGTTATTATATAATTATATATTACATACATCATAGTTATATAGTATACAAAAATAAAGTTACTTTTATGAGATTGATTTCATAATCAGAAAAAAAACTAAAACTAGACATATAGATTTCCCAAGAGCCCTCAGAACAGCAGGGAGGCTGAAATTGTCTAACACTGGGCAAAGCTACTAGCAGAACAATCCGGTTATGTATGTGCTGCAGCTACTGTTCAAACTCTAGGTACTATATGTGGTTAATATGGATTAGACACAGTAGCTAATAATACTTTTGGAATGACAAAGTCAACTTGATAATGACAGTATTCCTAAATTAGCACAATGAAGAGCTTAACAACTCTTGCGCATCTGGTGAATGGGTGACTGAAAGAAAAGCCTCTTTTCTTTGTAAAACTTAATATTAAAATTAGTCATATCTGTTACCTTAGATGCAAAAAGGAAAACAGAAGGCTATTCATTCCACTGGTATTTTGCCCTCGAAGACCTATGCCTGAGCAATTCATGGGACAGATAACAAGTGGAGAGAGCACTAAGGCTGACGATCTAAAATAACATTTTTGGAAAAAAATCAAGAAGAAGAAAATAATTTCAAACCTTCAAGCAATTAGTGGTACGTCTCTGGAGTCTAATAATTTTTCCCAGAGAAATGACAAGACAGATCAATGGAAGATCAACGAAACAAGGTCGCGACAATAATACGCTTGATCCTGCGGTGGTCCTGAAAATGTGAATAGGAAGGCAGCAGTAAGAAGACCCCAGACTTTGCCTAGAAACAAAATATTCAGCCCCTTGTTTTTTATTGCAGGATTTTGAGTGGAAAAGTAGTCCCACTTGTCAATCAGCTAAGTTGCAGGGGCTAATAGATTCTGGTGTTTTGGGGGGATCAACACGGAATTTAATTTAACATCTCACAATACGCCCACATGCCCAGAAAATGTGGACAGCTTGATGGGGTTCACTGAGCCAAAGAAGCAAGACCCAAACAGTGCATTAATGTATAGAGGAAGAATGGTTGCAATCAGCCCCTTGTGAATTGGACAGAGGGCTTGGAGATGAAGCAATTATCAGCCATCGGGGATTAATAGTAAAGTGTGAATACCAAGCTGTATATGTTAGGGGCAGAATATGTTGCCTATAGAAAACAACAAAGGACGTTTCTTACTATTAAGTGAGATTAAACGTAATGGCCTGATTTAATCACAAAGGCAGAATTAAATTCAGATGGCAACTTCAAAGTGGACACAGGAACACAGGCCACTGCTTACATTTACATATAGCTGGCATAGCTTGGCCTGCCACACAATAGGATAAAGTTTCTTTGGCCACTTAAACAATTTTCTATTCTTCACTTTTTTGTGAACACTCACTGTATTTATTCCCCGATTGCATGTAGTTAGTAAGAAGGAGCTAAGAGTTATATTTATTCATGGACGCTTTAATTTTTAATTCTTTCAAATTATGCAAGAAAGCTGCGAAAAGTCAACAAGAACAGAGTAGTTATAATCAGATTGGCAACCACAACAAAAAAAAAAGAAGCAAAAACAAAACAAAACCAAAAAAATCTCTGATAGATTGATCCTGTGTCTTTCTTTTTTATCTGCCCTCAGCTTAGGAACTCACCATTTGAGATCCAAGTTTAGCCCATGCGAAATGCACCCTTCCCCCTACTCGGGTCTAGATCTGTGTTACCATCGTGGAGGCCACAGGAGTATTTTTCAATACAGGCTAGTCCCTCCTTCCTTCTTTGTTGCTGAAGACTTGCTTCCTTCTTGGCTCCCCATCTTAGAGGGAGTTCTCATAAGAGGTTTGGGGGCTATAAGCCTGTTGCAGAGTTTAAAGGGCTTGAGGCAGTATTGTTAGTGGGTCCCCGGGAATTTCAAGTACCCGTGACTTGAAAGAAAAAATTAAGTACAGTATCTAAAAGACATGATTGCCTCCATTCAATGCCCAAGGACTGAGTACATCTACACCTTTTGTGTTCATAAAAGCCCCTAACAAATTTTATATATATATGTAATATGTAATTATTATTTTACATATATGTGTAAAATAGTTACTATATTATAAGGTATTATACATTATATAATGTATACATTGTATATTATATGAATGATTAATGATCCTACTCTTCAAGCCAGCAATCTTTCTTCAAAGAATTTTTTCTAAACAGGCATAGCTTAAGGCCTTAAAGATTTACGTAACAGGACATTCATCGCAAAGTTGCTTTTAATATTAAAACCAAATAGGAATCTACCAAAATGCCCATCCTTGTGGGAAGAGTTTAACAAATTTTGCTATGAACTTACAGTAAAATACTATGCAGCCATTTTAATGATCCGAATCTGAAATGATCAGAAAAAATAATCTGGAGTTTTAGTTGATTAGAAGATGATAGATGATGGATAGATATATCAAAATTCTCATAATATATTGTTGAGCAGTTTGTTGAATCATGTATAATATGATCTTAAGTGTATCTAATTGTGTGTGTGTGCGTCTATGCAGAGAAATGTTTGGGAAAATGTTGGCCAAATGTAAACAGTGTTTATCTCTGGGTGGAGGGATTTTGGTTGTTTTTAACTTTTTTCTTGGTACTTATTGACTTTTTTTTTATAATTAACAAAAATTACTTTTTCAATCAGAAAAAAATCTATTTTATTTTTGAAAAAGAATTATGTTTTTGAGAGCATCTGGGAGGTGATTTTAAGGCAGAAGAGAATTTCTGGGGCCAGAATGAAGCCAAGGCTCACGCATATCCTGGGTCTTCCCGTCTCTAACGATCGGGGGGCCTGGACACCCGGGTTCTCCCACTTGCCATTTTCAAGGTCTTACTTTTGGATTTGGAGAATTTATCTTTCTTTTTTCATTGCCCCTTCGTGTGACAGAGATTTTCTGAGCTTGACGTGTCCTCCTTGAAAAGAATAGGTTGATCATCTGTAAATTTGTTGCAATCTGATTTCAACCCAGTAAAATTTAGGGAAAAGGCTGGGAGACGCCAAGTCCCTGAGGAAGAGGCAGAGTTGTGGGTCAAGTCCTCTCTCTTTAGAGAAAGCTGGCTTGGAATTGAGCGGGGGTCTCTTTGGAGCAATTGGCCCATCCATGTATATGAATGCTCTGAAGTTTCATTCTCAGACGAACGAAAGTGTCTGAGAGCCTTGCTAACTTGCATCACATCGAGAAAAAATACTCCACAACAATTGCCTTCCAGCATGCACAGCTTCACTCTGAGCCTTAGAACCAAACTCTGTGGTTCCAGTAAATTGCAAGACACCCCTCTGCTTAAAAGAATGAGGAGAATGTACAAGTGGGGATGAGCAAAACGCGCTTCCAGTTTCTGAGGGTTGCTTGCTACAGCAGCAGGGCTGACGTTGCTTATTTACCGGAAATGGAAGCAGACAGATCACATCACATGCCTTTACTTTGTGCTCCTCAGGCGTTCTGGGGCAAAGATGTGGTTCTGGCTGATGGTACAGTTGGACCAAGTTGGACGGGCGGTGAGTGAATGACAACTCACCTGGGGACTGACTCGGCCCATTTTCTAGCACAGGGCACCAAATTAAAAAGAGAAAACTTGGTAAACCAAAACAAACTTCCCAGATTATTCAGAGGCAGGAAGAGGCAAACAACACATGCCATCTGTCCCTTTGATGGCCTCGGTGGGGTGGACAGCAAACTCGGGCCCCTTTCTCGGCCCTTTCCCAAGTCATCTCCTAAAGGTGGAGTGGACATCAGAGCAGAAACTCTCTCAAACAACCCACCCTCGGTTTCCAGAAAAGCGGTAATTGCTTCATTTTCAAACAGAACAGGAGTAGAGAAAATTTTCTAGTGTCTAAAATATAGATGAGCATTTTATAAAAACAACACTTAGTGTTTCTTTCTGATTACAAAAAAAAAAATGCAGGTTCATGTTAAATTCAAACAAATACTGAAATAGAGAGAGAAAGAAAATAAAGCGTGTGTAATCCTACCGCCCAGAGATAGCCATTGTTAACATTCAGGAGTATTTCCTTCCACTTGGTTTTTCTATGCATATATAATTAGAACACACTCTTTTATCTTTCACAAAGCTGGAATCATAGGGTCTATATTATTTTGTTTCCTCTCTTTTTATTTTAATAGTCTATCAGAGCACGAGAAAATATAGTGTTCTGAGAAATTCTAGGAGTAATAATAATAGTAATCTTGTTAGTAATAGGGCTATAGTTTATATTGTCTATAATCTGGATTATGCACAGGATTCCTCTCCATGGAGTTGAAAGTATTTCTAATTTATTTTCCTACTGGGCTTGGAGTTAAGGAAAAATATGCAACTGAGACTGTCTGAAGAGATGGGACGACTTCTTGGAGTCGCATAGTCAAGTCACAACCAGGAGCAGACCTGAGTCTCTGCTACGCAGTTGGGGACCAGTCACCTGGGGAAATGGGACCTTCCTCTGGCCGTAGGCAGGTAATAGTCAACACACAGGTACCACTTGGTGATGAGGGTGGATGTTGCCTCCTCGCCAACAGATAGGTGCCTCTTTCGTAATTAGAAGAGGATGGAGGTTCGGGTTAAGTTCGAGGTCTTTTGTGCCCACATCAGAGCACACATACAAAATGATATTTGCCCAGCACACACACACACAGAAGTGCTGCGGTCACTCCGGAGGTCGGGAAGGAGGGACCCATGGTCCCGGCTCCTCTAACCGGCCCCTGTCTTGCCGGCTCATCACTCCCGCTGCGCGCAGGGCGGGCTGACAGTTGTAAGGCCATCATCGTGTCCTCTCACAGAAGGATCAGGAAGACCAATTGCCCCACACAAAGGCCTGAAGTGCTCGTGTGAAAGGTCACTAAGTGCTGTCATCTGGGCCAGAGAGGGGGCCGGGAAGGCGGTGCCCACTGAGAACAACAGAATGGGGGCAGGATCTTAACCTCCGCCTGTGGCCTGTGGTGTCCGGGGAGGGGCAGGGAATCTCAAGTAGGAGTGAGAGGGACTCGGGAGTGAGGCCCAGCCCCAGGGTTGAGAGGCACCGTGGTCTCTCAGGCCTCCATAACTCTGCTCAGGGGCTGATCGCTCTCATTCATTTCCCTGGAGGGCAGGTGGCAGGGTGGCCTCAAAGGAGAGAGGAAGCAAGGTAACAGTCCTGGGGATGCTCCAGGCTCTGCGATGAGGCCCCATCCGTGACCCTCCTACTGGGCGGATGGACAGAACCTGGGAAGTCAGGGTGTTCTTTGTGGCATCCCTCAAAACACAGTTTTATGAAACCTGGAACTACTAAACACACTGTTTGGTGTCAAATTCAATACCATTTAATGCCACATTTGAATATATAAATGGGACCGCAACTGCCAAGATTTAAGAAAGAAAACAGAAGTTGGAAATGTAAAGTCAAACAAGGAAAATGTGCAGTTCACTTGCCCAATCAGCTCAGTGAGGACCACTGTCATTCACTTTTCATTAGGACACTTGATTGTGGCCCAAAGGACACCCGGGCTCTGAGGGGACATCAATGAGGAACTGCTGAGGGCTGACACCCAAGAAGATCTCTGTTCTTCTGAGGTGTGACATGTGGGACTTTAAAATATGGGTATGAAAATCAGGCAGCAATTTTGAGGCCCTGGGCAAGTTATTTTAAACTCCCAGTGCCTCGGTTTCCTCATCTGTAAAGAGGGTTTGTTTTGAAGATTAAATGTGTTAATATTGTAAAGAGCTTACAACAGTGCCAGACATACAAACTCTCAATAAATGCTAATTATCATCTTCATCATCATCATCATCACCATCACTCTGGGTAGGGGAATTCTTGGTGAATTTAATTTCCATCTTTACATTTCTTTTATTGTCTGGAAAGTCTGCAATGATCATGTATTATTATTACAATGAGAAAAGACAAAACTTTTTTTAAAGAAAGAAAATAGTCCTCATGCTGCCTTCCTGAGCCCCCGGGAAGATGAGAGAGTCCAGGGACAAAGTGTCAGAAAGGGAAGGATCTTCTCACCAACAGAAATATGCCTCTTTTGTAGCTGGAAGAGGATGAAGGTTAAGTTTGGATTTCCCCCCCACATCACAGCGCACACAGAAAATGGTAATATTTGCACAACACACAGACCTGCCAGTTAGCCTGGGACTTTTGAGGATTCAGGAATGTGGCACTTTGAGTGCTGAGATCGGAGAGTCTTGGGCAAACTGGGACAATCGAGTCGGTCACTCGAGCCAAGGGGAGCAAATCTTCAACCATACCTGTGACCCTTTCCAGATACACCAGCTGGGAAACCCCGAAATTTTTGCTTTGGAGCCCCAGATTTAAGCCACACCACAGGGCCGGCCCCGTGGCTTAGCGGTTAAGTGTGCGCGCTCCGCTGCTGGTGGCCCGGGTTCGGATCCCGGGCATGCACCGACGCATCGCTTTCTCCGGCCATGCTGAGGCCGGAGGAGGATTGGCAATAGATGTTGGCTCAGAGCTGGTCTTCCTCAGCAAAAAGA